CTTTCTGTTGAATTGATCCTTTGATCATTACATAGTGTCCTTTGTCTCTTTTAACAGTTTTTTTTTTTTGTTAAAGTCTATTTTGTCTGATATTAGGATGGCTATACCAGCTCTTTTTTTGTTTTTTTTTTTTGTTTGTTTGTTTTTTTTTTTTTGGCATAGAATATCTTCCTCCAACCTTTCACTTTGTCTGCATGCGCTGTTGTTGGAAAGATGTGTTTCTTGTAAGCAGCAAATAGATGGGTTTTGTTTTTCAACCCATTCTTCCAGCCTGTGTCTTTTAATTGGAGAGCTGAGGCTATTTACATTCAAGGTGACTATTGATAACTAATGACTTTGCCCTGCCATTTTTCCAAAAATATTCCTATTTTTTTACTTTGAATTTACTTTGAACTTTTACTGAGAGATTTTCTTCCTTTACCTTATTTTGTAGTGATGACCATGTTTGTGTGTGCAACACATCGTTAAGCATCTTTTGCAGGGCTGGACAGGTGGTGACAAATTCTTTCAATTTCTGTTATGGAAAGTCTTTATTTCACCTTCATTCATAAATGAGAGCTTTGCAAGGTACAGTATTATGGGTTGACACTTTTTTTTTTTCTCCTAAGACTTGGACTATATTTCACCATTCTCTCCTAGCCTGTACAGTTTCTGATGAGAAGTCCATTGTGAGTCTAATTGGAGATCCTCTGAAAGTAATCTGGCATTTCTCTTGTGCACATTTTAGAATCCTCTCTTTATGTTTTACTGTGGTGAATTTGACTACAGTGTGTCGTGGTGAAGATCTTTTCTGGTCACATCTATTAGGAGTTCTATGTGCTTCCTGTACTTGGATGTCCCTATCTTTTCCCAAATTAGGGAAGTTTTCTGTAATTATTTCACTAAAAAGGCTTTCTAATCATTTCTCTCTTTCTGTGCCTTCAGGAACTCCTAGAACCCATATGTTGAGTTGTTTGATAGTATCCTGTAGATTCTCAACAGTGATATTTTAGTTTTCTAATTTCTTCTTCTTGTCTTTGGTTTCACTGTATAATTTCCTGTGCTTTGTCTTCTAAGTCTGATATTCTTCTGCTTCACTGATATGTTGTTAAGGCTCCTCAATGCATTTTGTATTTGTTCTATTGACTTCTCCATTTCATTTTGATTTCTCTTTAAGGTCTCAATTTCATGGGAGAAATTTTCTTTCATGTCCTGTAAGGATTTAGGAAGCATTTGCTTATGATTACTTCTGTGTAATCTTATGATCAATTTTTTTTGAATTCCATTTCCTGCATCTCATCATCTTCACAATCTAGTATTGAGTGTTGTGTTCTATTGGGGGAGTCTTGTTGTCTTTCTTATTCTTGGTTCTTGAATCGGTGCATTTTTTTGGCATTTGTGGTTTCTTTCTTTCTTTCTTTTTTTTTTTTTTGCTGTGGCAGCTTTTATCTTTGTACTATGACTCTGTAGATAAGTGGAATGTGTGCTTTCAGGGAATATCTAGAAGCTTGTAGTGGGTGTTACCAGGGAGCTCTGTTCAGTTCTCCAGGGTTAAGGGCATACCTAAGGTGAAATATCCAGGTTTGGCATGGTAAATCACTTTTTTTTAATCAGAAGGGAAGTTTATTCTGCTCAGCTGAGCTCTGTCTGAGTACTTGCTCCAGTGGGTACAGTATTTGTCCGCTCTGTACCAAGGACCTCACAAAGGATCTGTGTAGTCCTCAGTGTAAGTTCCGAATCTCCAGCAATGTCTTTCACCAGGTTACCAGGAACCCCCAACCTTGTGGCATCTCCTACTGAGACTGCTCAAAGTCCCAGCCACAGCATGAATCCTCCCACACACCCTCAGTTTTTTTCACAGTCCCAGTTCAGAAGCTTCACACAGTCACAAGCTCCTAGCCCCCTGTTAGTTCTCCCCACCCAAGACAGGAGTCTCCACTCAGCTGGTTGCTGGGCACAGATGCGAGCTGATCAGCTGTTACATATCTCCAAAATGGTGCCCGCTCTATCGGCTCGTTACAGTACCCCATTGTAAAGTGATGGGGGGGCGGAGACAAACGTGTCTGTCCAATCCTTTTTTTTCTCCTTTGGCAGGTATACTATCCCCCATGGGGCTCCATGCCAGGTTTCCTCTAGGCTCTTCCTGCCACTTTTTCACCAGTGGCTTGAGCTCTGTGGTCTCACCTCACTTTCCAGTGCTAATGTGTAGGTGCTTGGCTGCTGGAGTCCCGAGCTGTGGGCACCCATGCCCTCCATGTTGGTCCACCATGTCCCTCTAATTTCAGTAGAGTTTCCTCTGCTGTTTTCTCCCTAACTCTTCCCCAAGACTACAATATCTCCAGTTTTTTTAAACTATCTTCTGGGCTAGGGCGGTAAGCTCTCTCCCTACTCCACCATCTTGGAACTGCCCCTATGATTTTAAAATTTTAAACATTTTAACATTTAACATTTTGTTTAAACATTTACATTTTAAAATTTTGAACGAGGATTTGCCTTCCTGTGGCTGCTTATTTCACTTAGCGTGATGACCTCTTGTGCCAGACATTTTGCTGCAAATGATAGAATTTCATCCTTTTTCTTTATCCACGCATTTGATGATGGACACTTTTGCTGATTCCACATTTTGGCTGTGCTGAACAGTGTTGCTGTGAGCACGGTGAAACAGGTTGACACCTGAGACAGTGGATTCTTTCTTGTCTTTTGTGTTTATACCCAGCAGCAGGATAGCTGGATCATATATGCGCCTCCTTCAAGTGTGCACCTTCCTGACCTTTCAAGTTCAGAGGAGGAATGACCTGCTCTTGGTTCGGTCTCTCAGACTCTTGGCCTTGACTTGTTTCCAGCACGCAGGCAGCAAGGCCTCGGGCCAGCACTGTAGAAGCTGCTGCTGTGCCCCGGGGGGCCCTGGAGAGCTTCACTTGTGGGGTAGGGATGCTGCTGAGACAGAACTTGTGGCTCCGGCACTTAGCCCTCCCGGTTTTTTAAAAGAATCTGTTGTTCAGATTTTTATTTATTTTCTTTTTGTTTGAAAGGAAGAGAAATGGATGGAGAGAGCTATTTCATTCACTTGTAACTTCCCAAATGTCCCCTGCAGTCAGGAATGGTTATGCTAGGCTGAAGCCAGGAAACCAGAACTCAGGATGAGTCGCCCGTGTGGGTGTCCAGGACTCAGTGACTTGAGCCATCACCTGCCTCTCCGGGCGTGCCTTAGCAGGAAGCTGGCCTGGAAACAGAGTATCTGGGACTCGAGCCAGGTGTCCCCCAGTATGGGAGGTGGGCGTGCCAAGCAGTGACTGAACCCCTGCACCACACACCTGTTCCCCATCTCCAATTTTTCAAGGTCTCTCTTAAATATATTGAGGCTAATTTTGTCTGTAAAGGGGTTCCCCATGAAAGGAAGGAAGGAAAACAGTGTAAAAACATTAACTCGATGAACTTCAACCCACACACCGTATTCTCTGAATAAGAGCTGCTAAGAACAAGTCACATAAGCAAGAAAGGCCAACCAGTCTTTCAGTAACATTGGCTCAGTAACCTTATTATTGAAGGTAAAAAATCAAGGATTACTGTTCGATAACCCATGTTTTGACAAATAGTAATCAAATGATGGATGTCCAAGATAGCCACTTGGATGACTGTCCCACGCCTGCACTGCTAATCAGTTAAGGTGATTCACCTGCTCGTTCGTGGCCTACTCATCCCCTGGACTCCCTGTGCCAGGACGACTGCTCTGAGCCTCACTCCTGTGGTCCTTCAGAAATGTATTCCCCCCCTGCAAACTAACTCATTGCCTGAGGACTTAGCTTTGGGCAGAGAAGAGGGAACTGGTTGAACGAGCAGGCTGGACAAGGGTGCTGGCCAATGAGGCTTGGGTCCATCCATCAGCTGATACAATCCTTTTGGGTCTCAGTGCCACACTTGGCCTGTAAGGATTTTAAAGGGTGAGTTAGCGGCATCCCCACATCCCAGCCAGCTGGGCACTCCCTGTCCTGGGCCATGGCTGTCACAGGCCCCACATAAGTGTCCCAGTGAGTGGCCCACAGATGAAGGAACTGGCTCTCCCAAAGACCTGTCCAGGTGTCGCTGGGGGATGGAAAACTTTGCTGCCAGACCTGATCAGAATGACCACATGTGGCATCAGGCACATCATTTCACCCACCTGGCTGTGTGTCTGTCTATGGAATAAAGGGGTTGGTGTTTGGGTTTTCTTTAAGGAATATGTGAATTTCCGTTTCTGGATGGACAGCCGCTGTAACAGACACATTCTCGGTTCTTCTCATGTCACCGACAGGTGTCTCTGATTACAAGACCTCCAAGTGACTGTCTAGGGGCCCAGGTCCCTTCTGTATTGTGGCTCTGCCTGCCTTTATGTTGAGGGCTGTGTGATGGTTCCCAAAGACAGCTGTGGAATCAACCAGCTGAAAAAATACACAAAATCAAGAACCTCTGAACCGGCAAATGGGGAAAAGACAGAGAAGGCCTTCCTGGGCACCCACCCGCGTCCCACTGGCCTAAAGTACGTCACTTGGCCACACCTGAGAGCAAGGACGCAGCAGTCCAGAGAGAAAACTACTTGCAAACTCTGGGAGGCACGGTCTCCTTGCAGTCCCCCCCCCCCCACCCCAGGAGGGGGTAAACTCTCACACCTGCACTGGAGTCCCAGCCTCACCTGCAGGAGGGCAGTGCAGTGAGCCCATCGGGAGAGGCCAGCAGTCCTCACGGGGAACATGTGCACAGGTTCTCCCACGAGAGGTCCCGCTGATGCCTTGTGGTCTCAGCCTCCCGGCACCTTGGTTCCTCCTCTCCTTCTCAAAAGTGTTCATTTGGTTGATAAATTACATAGCGATCCTGTCCGTCACCGAGCAGATGACGGATGGCTGCAGGAAGATGCACAGCGTTGCTGGGAAAAAAACCACACAGCGACTGTTCCATAAAGACAGTGTTGTTTTTTTTTTTTTTTAATTTTAAAATTCTGCATCTGAAAACACAGTATGACAGAAAGCATTTATATACACCTGCAGTGTTTTTGGTATGATACAGTATTTAATACATCCACTGTTTTCTGCAAAAATTTTGCTTTGTCGGACAGAAACAAACTCCCCTAGACAAAAAAATACAGCTAAGGCACAATTTTGTTGTTGTTGTTGTTTTCCTGCTAAATGAAAAGACAGAAAAGGTGCAAAAAATGGGCAGGTTACACAGTTGTTTCTGAGACCCACACATTCTACCTGGAGGAGAAGTATCTGGGTGCTTGGAACTTTGAGTGTTGGTTAATTTCAGATAGTCCAATATCTCTTAAAATACTCCTTTAAATAAATAGCAAAATATCTACATCTTTCAGAGTGTGCCATTTGAATTCATTCTCTCTCTTTTAAAACTTTATTTACAGATTCTTTTTTTAAAATCAATACATTACAAAATATTTCTGTACAGTTTTATGCATATTATGATCTATAACAAAATAGTTATTTTTAAAAACTATATCACCACATGTCTTTGAGAACAATGAAGGGGGCAATAACTTATTGTGAGGCCTCTCTAACAAGTACCCAAATAAACGCTATCGACAACGTAATTGTTATCTTTAAAAAATTAAAAAAAATAAGACGAAGGGACTACAAAGACAATTGCGCTCAATTCCAGTGAATTTCCTATGAAAACCCTGGGGTTGTCTTTGGCCTCCATCAACACTGAGCGATAGGAGGGTAAGGAGGTGTCGTCCGGAGGTGGGGTGGGGTGCTCGTGTTGAGAACACGACCCTTCACGGGGATACGTACCGCCAGCGCGTTCCAGGTGGGAAGGAGGAAGAGATGGACCGAGAGCCTCTCCTGACTCACCCAGTCACAGGGGAGGGGCAGGTCGGGGAGCCGCTGTGAGCGCCCAGCTTGTCCCAGCGGCCCCACGGGCTCAGAGAAGGCTGCGGGCGCTGGCTGCGGTTCCCTGGAGCACCCACGCCTTCGTTTTGCCCATAGGAAAGGCCAGAAGCCCATTTCTCCTACGGAAGACCTTGGTGCCAAGGGCTGCCCACGGGCTCGCGGGTGCTCTGTCTTCTGTGACATTGGTGGGGATGGGACAGGGAGGACGGTCGGCTTCCAGAAAATAATCGTAAGGCCACATTTCAAAAAGGAGGAACCTAAGGCTTTTTGGGGGGCGTGGGCGCGAAGGATTGGGGGGAAGCAAGTGGGAAGGGAATGAAGAATGGAGAACACGGTGATCATGGGGGTGGGTGGCGCAAGGGGGCAGCACCTGCTTCCCGGTGGTGCCTGGGAAGAGGTGGGGGGAGGATTCCCCAGCCAAGTGGAGAGAGAAGAGGCCGCTTTCTCCCGACACGGGCTCGGCGAGAACAGAAGCAAGGACCGCAGGAGGGAAACACACAGGCGTGGGAAGCCCTCCTGTCCCAGAGGGTCCTGTACAGCATCCCGTTTGCAAGGTTACAGAAAGAAATACTTCTGAGAGAAGGGGGGAGGAGGAAAGGGAGACAGAGATGGGGCGGGGGTTTGCATAGATCGTACATTCAGCCCCAGCGGATCTGGACACCTCTCTCCCCCCAGGTAAACGTCTCAGCAGACACAGTGAGGTAGCGTCTGTGGTAGACCCATGAGGCAGACCCATGAGCGAGGACAGCCCCGTGCGGCTCACGCAGAGGCTGCACGGGTTGGAAGGTGCAGCCAAGACTTGGGCTTTGGAGCGGGCCCAGCTGCCTCTCGCCCTACCCCGGCCCTCCTGGACCCTGTCCTCACCTCGTCTGCCCGGCATGACGGTGTAGACCCAGGCAGTCATGAACCTCTGCGTGTCTAAGCAGCAGCAGCTTAGCACCCCCAGTCTTGCTCCTTCTGCTTAGCACCAGGTGTCCTGGGAGCAGGAGAGCTGACCACGAGCGTCCCCTCTGTGGGGCCGTCTCCGGGAGGGGAGGGGCCAGTCCCATGTGAGCCATCCTTTTTTACCCTGCCCTAATGCCAGCTTCTTCCTCTCCCGCCAGGGCAGCCCCTGAACTCCCCGTCCCCAGAGGACAGAGGTCGCTGGCAGTGCCCAGGGGGAACTAGGAAATGTTTCTTCATCCGTAATCTTGGTTTTTTTAAATAGCCAACACTGAACATCTAGATTTCCCACAAAAACCTGGGTCCATGGCTCCCTTTTCCAAAGTGGAAGTCTGTACCGCACTGGACTTGGACTCACACCCGGGGACAGCGGGTGCTGGACCAGGCACAGGCTTGCATCCAGGACCCAGCTGCCACAGGGTGTGGCTTTGGTCTGTAAGGCCCTCCTCGCCATCCCGAAGGCTGAGTAGGCGGACCACCGCCTGCACGTCCCCCCACCCCGTAGTGAACTTGGCTGGGCCCCACACCCAGCTGCTGCTGCTGTCTGCCTGGTGCCTGCTCAGCCACGAGGCCAGCGTTTCAGCCTGTGTCCACCTCTTATCTGCAAAGCAGACAACCAGAGGGCACAGGGGCCCCACCTGCCACGCCACACAGGTGCCCAGAGGAGCTGTAAGCTGCCCCTCTGGGGTGGGGGACTGTGTGCTCTCTCTCATGTGGCATTTTAAAAGTGAAACTGACGATAGGAAATCAAGCCAGCCTGAGCCCTGGTCCCACCAGGAGGTCTTTTTCCAAGAGGAGGACCTAGTGTACTTCTTAAACCCAGGGTGCTGGGCAGCAGGGCTGGGCCTGGCCACGTGCAGAGCTCCGTTTCTGCCTTAGAATTATGGGCTGGGTGGGGAACTGTGCCCAGCCCATGGGCGCTTCCTCCCCCAACCCCAGATATCTACCCCCCAGTCCTACCTCCACGCCTTTTGAGCTCCCGGGGACCTAGTCCGCACTGAGCCTGCCCTGCTGCCACTCCGCACACGGCCTTGTGGCCTGCAGCGACCTCGGCTCTGTGCCCTCGGAATCCTGGGGCCGCCACAGCTCCAGGCTGCCTGAATGATGGCCTCCGATAAATCCTTCTCATACTGGGGGTGGGGGTGGGGCACAAAATAAAAGGAGTTACAGTATCCTCTCCCAGGGAAAGGCTCTCCCTGTCTCACATCACAGGGGGCTGTGCTTGGAATTCTCTTTGTTTAACCAAATAGAAATCTGCAAAATTATTCTCTGGTCCCAAAATACAGGAGACAAAGGAACGCCCACGTGACTTAGCTCTGGAATCACTTGGGAGGAGGAGGAGTCGATGGGGGGAGGTTTGGGGGGGGTGGTCCCCAGAGGAAGCTGGCTCTGTCATTTCTGCTCTGGTTTCTGGGTGGGAAAAAGTAAGATGTTCAAGGGCGAGGGCCCTGTATGGGGATGTGCAGCCCCCAGCACACGCAGGGCGCCCCCAGAGGCCAGGCAAGGAAGGTGGAAGGAAAGGCTGTCCATGCGGCTACAGCAGCCCAGGGACACTGGGGGCAGAAAGAGGATGTGGCCCCCAGGGCAGGGTTCCTGTAGTCTGTGAGACCATCCCGGGGGCTCTGAGGTCACTGGCCCTGCCGTGGATGGCAGCCTGCACCTGGACGGTGCCCACGGGGTCTCCCCCTCTGCCTACCATGGACCTCCCTCCGAAGGAGCCCCTTTTCCTCTGCCTCGGTCACTTCCAAGCCCAAAGTGAGATTGGCTAAAGGAAGCCCTGGAGGAAGCACGCAGGGCTGGCTCAGGCGCCCTGCACACAACACAGTCCTGCCTTGGGCCTCCCGCCTGGCACATCCCGGAGCCTGGGGTGGGCGTGGCTCAGGAATCCCCGCCCTGCAGAAGGAAAAGTGGGGCTCCAAGGGTCCCAAGGGCTCCCTACTTCCAGCCGGTGGGTGACGCAGTTCGAAGCTTTCTCCTCCTGGGGTCCAACATCCCTGCTTTCCTCTGAGGACAAGGTGGGTGCAGGGCAGACAGACGGAGAAAGGGGAGGGAGCCTTTTGTGAACAAAGGCAGCTTCAGTTAGTAAGAGAACGTAATCGACAAGCTGCGAAAACAGCACCTACGAATTAGTCATGGACTAAAACAGAGAAATAATAAATACCAAAAGTGTCCCTTCTCCAAGTCCTCCATGGCCAACAGGCCATCCCGCCTTGCTGGGCGGGGGCAGCGGGCAGTTTCCTCCAACCCATGGGGACAGCTGGCAAGCAGGGTGTGACTTTTCCCAGGGAGGTGGGATGGCAGGAGGCAGGGTGGGCCTCCAGGGGGAGCACGGGAAGGAGAGCCCCCACCCCCGACCCCGATTTCCGGTAACTGGAGCCCGGTGACTAACAGGAGCTTTGATTTTTAAACAAGCTGCCCCGTTTGTGAGACCCGGCCTCCTCCTGTTCGCGTCGGGTGTCCAGATGGGCTGGCTGGCAGCTCCGATAAAGAAGGGCAGGGAATTAAAAACCCGACCTGCAATGCAGCTTCCTGGAGGCGGCGCGTCTGGTCCAGCGCTGTGGTCACTCCCAGCAGCCCCGAGTGTGCCAGTCGGAGGCTTCCCTGCCTGAGCTCGGAACGGAAGGGCCCCGGCGGGTGCCGGGTATTGCCCTGGCATCCAGCTCAGGAGCTCTGTTCCCTGCAGGTCTGCGAGTCTCACGGCCATGGTCCCCTAAGCTCCCGACTTCCAGGAACCAAGAGGTCCCGAATGGCTTGGGAGACTCGAGGCTCCTGTCTCGAAGCATCAGCCCATTTCTGTTACCAAGTGTGGCAGCCTCAGGGGAGGGGGAGTGTGGGCCGGCCACCCACCCTGCTGGGGGGCCTTGGCCATGGCACAGCAAGTTTTCCTGCCCATCTAGATACGCAGACAGCTCAGCCCACAAAGGACTCACGGGAGGCTTGGAGCCCTCGCGAGCCTGCCTCCTCCCTGGGAAAGGGCTAGGACGTGGGCTTCCGGGGCCTGTGACGTCGGGGCTGGCTGGAGAGGAGCGGAAAGAGAAGCAGAAGGCTGGGGCTGGGGCTGGGGCTGGAGGCTTGGGCAGTGCTGTCACACTGGCTTTTACGGAGCCCTTGTGTTCTGCAGAGGGTCCTCAGCAGACGCCCTTGGCGGAGATGGCCCAGTGGGCTGCGCCCGGGGGAGGGGACCTCTCACTCTGCAGCTCGGGCTTCAGCTGCACCCTGGACCTCTGCCTACCTCTGCGCCGAGCCACCAAAGTGCTGCTGCTTGAAACAGAAGTTTGAAATCACTTGTCGGCCGGGGTGGGAGGGGTCGGGGGAGATGAGAAGCTGCAGGACCTGAGGCTCGACCCGAGAGGTGAGACCGCCGCCGGCACAGAGCCGCCTCCCAGCTGACCAGTGGCAGGTTGTTGGCAACCCTGCCCCGGCTTCCAGACCTCCCTTCTCCATCACTCTGCAGCCAGCCGGGCCCCTTGCGTGGGACACCAGGGCTGAGAACCCACCAGCCCCTCTGGCTGCTTTCCCAGTGAGATCCCACCGTGGCGCACGTGTGCCCGGTGCTACCTGAGCCTGCCGTCGGGTTTGACGGCCCCCAGTTCCGACTTGGGGTCGGGGCTCAAGGAGCTCCATGCTGTGTGGCTGCAGGACTGCATGACGGGGCAGGCGGTGGGGCCTGTGGAACAGACGTCCATGGCGGCCCACATGCTGCCCACCAGCGAGTCCAGCCAGCCCTCCAGCGCCGTGCCCGTGGCCGCTGCGTTCCTCCCAGCCTGCTCCACCTGGGCGGGGCTGATGGGCAGGCTGAGGACCGGGTTCAGGCTCTGGAAGCTCTGCTCCATGTAGGCACTGCGCGGGGGCCCGTTGTGCAGCTTCAGGGTCTCCTCTGGAAGCAAAGGGAAGAGGCCGTGGTTAGAGCAGCCACTCACCGTCCCGCCTCTCCGCCCGCCGGGAGCTGCACCGGCCCTCGGCTCACCTCGGTAATTCACACAATAGTCACGTCGGGAAGTTATCCCAGCAGTCCCATTTTACAGGCAAAGAAACGGAGCCCACCAGGACACAACCCGCGTTGTACGGGGCACAGGGCCTTCGTTCATCCAACGCACCTGACAGACTTCAAAAAGTCTGTGCAACATGGAACTAAAACATCGGGTCACTCTGGTGTAAACATTTTGAAATCCACGACTAGGAGGAGGTTAAAAAATGAATGGAAATGCATATTATGGAAAAACTGCATGAATTTCATTTTTTTGCACCAAAAGTAGCTTATCTTTTAATTCCGTCTTCCACAAACTTTTCGAGGTCACCTTGTTGTAATCGCAGAACACCTTCCATGGTCCAGACAGTCGTCCAATGCCTGTTTTTAAGCACCTGCTTTTTGCAAGGTGTTCACTCAACACACGCTTACTAGGCCTCTCTAGTCTTTAAGGAATTTATTTTTTGGATAAGGATATAATGCGCATAGCATTCCTAGAGAGCCAAGACTATTCCAGACAGTGGTATGAGCCAGACAGGTGGAGAACTTACAATTCGGTGGAGACTGACACCAAAAAAGTCCCTAAGGCAGATCATGTCAGGCAGGGATGAGGGCAGAGAACAGACAGGGACCAGGGTCAGAGCAGAGGACCGGTGATCACAGCCCTTGAGCAAAATCCGCCCACCCTTTGGTTTTATAAATAAAGTTTTATTGGAATACAGCTGTGCCCACTTGTTTATTATCTATGGCTGCTTTTGTGCTGCCACGCGGAGGGGAGCGGCTATGGTGGCGAGTGTATTCTGCCTGCAAAGCTGTAGGTATTTACTGCCCAGCCCTGGATGGGGAAGGTCTGTGGACCCCTGGGTTTGAGTGATGCGGGGAGGGGACATCCACGCTGAGTGCTGACTGCTGTGTGGGAACAAGCCACAGGCAGATGCTGAGGGGACAGCAAGTGCGAAGCCCAATGAAGCACCTTCCCCCAAGTCACACCGGTAATGCGTGTTGGAGCCAGGCTGGAAGCCCGGCGAGAAGCCCAGCTCTGGGCTGCTGAGGGTCCGCCGTGAACTCCGGAAAAGCCCAGGCACCAGCGCTGGCCACGCCATGCAGATTCGTCCTGCAAAGCATGAACCTTGCACCAGACGGGGGTGAGACGTAACGCCACGCAGTGGCCCTCTCGGTAACTCTGCCTTGCTGGGGACCTGCCTCGAGCCAGCTACTCTGTCCAGGGCTCAGGTAAGAGCCCAGGTACGGCATCAGCCCATCTGGGTTTATGTCCCCAACTCCTGTATATCCAGCATATGGCTTCTGACTTCGACTCGACTCAACATGCCCAAGTTTTGTTTTGTGAGGATTAAACATGCTAACTCCCATGAAGTGCTTAAAATGGAACCTAGCATGTCCTCAATGCTTGGGAAAGTTTAGCTAGGTTTATTCTTGCTGGTGTGATATGTGCACAACACACACACACACAGCCCTGCAGGGCTGTAAAATGGGCATCAGTTAGACCCACAGCCCTGGCAAGAAGCAAAAGCAGAAGTTCACGTCTATAAACCATGAAGGAAGGGTGCATGGGAGGGGCTGTCACTACGCTCCAGGGCTTCAAGGTGGGGAGGCAGAGGTGCAGGCGTTGGGGGTGTGGGGAAGCAGCCCGTCATTCCTAGTTTGCAGGACTTCCCAATCATTGCCTATTTTAGTGCTACATACAAGCATGCACCTAGAAGACTGGCGACGCATCTGGGGCGCTGCGTTTCACCAAAGCAGACTTGGCTCAGTTCAGCGTGGCGAGGGATGGAAGAGACCTAGGAGACAACACAACCACCGGAAGACAGCGCTTCCGTCTGCCTGACAGCAGCTGTCCCCACCAGCGGCGACCAGCAGGGCACGGAAATCAGCAGGTTTGCTGCTTCTACTACGTGTGGTCCTGAGAGGGGAAGAGGGAGAAAGACCCTATGCCCGCCCTTCGTTCTAACAGCAACAAGAATACTGGCTTGACTGCCATAGACAAGAATGTAATTCCCTCAAGCCCCAATGCTCCAGGGCCCTGAGCGCTGGGGTTGGCCCACCTCTCTCGGCTATCGGCAGACATGTGTGGCACCAGAGCCTGTCTGTGCCACCTTGTGCAAGATGACAGGCTGGGGCGGGGGAGAATCCAAACTGCTAAAAGGCAGGAGATTCGGGTGGAAGGAGCAGCTAGCAAACACCAGGAACTAAATATTGCGGTGGGTGCAGAAACCCTTATGAAAAATGAGGTTAATGTGGGAAATGCTATTACAGTATCAGCTTGTGATACTTGCCTCTATAATTAAATTTTCTTCAATTCCACCTCATCAGATTTCTTGAGATTACCAGGGACGCGTCAATAGCAAATTACTCTTGATGAATCATTTTACAAATTGCATTGCTCCCACCTTCGTGTTCCTTGTCATTGCAACATGGTTAACAAATACGATTACTGATGCCCTGGGGGCTGCATCCTCTTGGGGGTAACACGACCCCTGGGTTGCTCTGGGCACGGGTGGGAAGAGGTCTGCCTGTCTCAGAAACCCTGGAAGAAAAGCTTGGGGAAATCAGGCCCCAGCGAAGTTCCCAGCGTGCTTCACTGCGGGGGTGGGTTTGGGACCACGCCTCTGTCCTGTCTTGCAGGTGCATCTCTCCCATCCTGGACCTCCTGCGGGAGGCCAAGGCTGCGTACCTCACCACTGCAGTACACTAAGTGAGCGGGCTCGCGTCCGCTGGTTCTGAAAGGGCTGTTGGCCTGGTTCAAACAGGAGTGGAACAGGCTTCCATCTCCAGGACACTAGGTCTCTGTCTTTCTCTTGCTTAGCACAAAGACAGCAGAAGTGGATGGAATTTACTTCAAGCCCCTCCCCCTTTAGAATTCCAGCATACCCTCCCCGGGTCTATGCCATTGTCATATGGCCACCTTCTGCACCTGGCCCCCCTCTGCACACCTGGCCAGCCCAGAGCTGTTTTTAGCAAACAGAGGCTGTAGTGTGCTCCTGGCTTCCAGGTTTGTTTTTGACAGGCAGAGTTAAACAGTGTGAGAGAGAGACAGAGAGAAAGGTCTTCCTTCGGTTGGTTCATCCCCCTCAAATGGCCACTATGGCCAGCGCTGTGCCAATCCGAAGCCAGGTGCTTATCCTGGTCTCCCATGGGGTACAGGGCCCAAGCACTTGGGCCATCCTCCACTGCACTCCTGGGCCACAGCAGAGAGCTGGCCTGGAAGAGGGGCAACCGGGACAGAATCCGGCGCCCCGACCGGGACTAGAACCGGGTGTGCCAGCGCCGCAGGCAGAGGATTAGCCTAGTGAGCCATGGCACTGGCCTCAGGTTTGTTATCTTTGAGACAGAGAACACTTCCCAGGCCTGCGGGTTCCGCATCTGTGGATTTAACCAATTGCAGATTGAAAGTAACTGAAGGGAGAAATTGTGTCTGTGTTAAACACGTCCAGACGTTTCCCCCTTGTCATTGTGCCCTAAGTACGCAGTGTAACAACTATTTCCATGGCATTCGCGTTATATTGGGTTTTAGGCTCTGTGCAGGAAACTCGGGAGGAGGCAGGCAGGTTGCGTGTGCAGCCTACACTGCTGTTACCCCGTGGAGTCTGGTATCTGCCGGAGGCCCACAGACACAGAGGGCCCTGGAATCCTGCTTCCAGGATCTTTCTTATGGCTGTGCCTGCTGAGCACACACCTTTCTTGGGACAGCTGCTGGTCTCGCAGTTAAAATGCCTGCGACCCATGTGAGAGTGCTTGGGTTGGACATGGAGCTCTACTCCCGACTTCAGCCTTCTGCTACTGCAGACTCTGGGAGGCGGTGGCGAGGGCTCAGGAACCCGGGGCCCTGCCACCCATGCGGGAGACCGGCAGTGCGTTCCTGGCTCTAGGCTTCAGCCCTCACCCAGCCCTGGCCACTGGGGGTACTGGGAGTGAACCAATAGATGGGAGACCTCTCCCTTTCGATCTCTTTGCCACTGAAATAAATAATTTAAAAACCCTTCCTTGAGGCGTAACGGTAGTCACACCAAACAACAGACGGTGTTTACGTGTCCACCAGTCAGGTTCATGAAGCTGCAGCTTTGTAGACCCCGACGTAGAAAGCACAGCAAGTGTCAGTACGAAATGTATTTTGCTTTTAAAAGCAGCACGGGGGACGTTCTGTCCATGCTTTAAAAGCACTGAGAAACCTCTACAAGGATCCACACCAAACTGCCGGCAGAGGCTGCCCCCGCAGGCAGGATTGGAGCCACGAGAAAGACATTTCCCTTGGCTCCCGACAGTGCAGGAGGAGACACGGAAGCGTAAAATAAACCTTTGAGGGGGAGAGGGGCAGGCAGGCCCAGGTCTGACACCCTGCGTGTTCTCTGTGTCCTGTGGACGCCACTGCCTTTGTGCGGACTCACAGACACTGAACTGGCACGCGTCACGGCGCTGGCTTTGTTTGTTTTGGAACTTCCAGTACATGCACCCGGGCTGTGACTTATCCCGTGACGCCCTCCTGGACAGAGTGCTCTCCAGGCTGACGCCGGCCAGCACTGTGCTACAGCAGTGTTCATGGCTGCATAGTACTCCAGTGCACTAGCAGACCGCTTACACGCTGCACACTCGTACCGTTTCTGATTCTGCGCTGCCGGGAACACTCCCACTGTAACCGTTTCTGCATCTGTCTCTACGGGGCCTGCGATTGGGGTAGACTTTTCAGACAGTAAACGTTCCACTTCACTAGGCTAAACCGTTTTCCAAGCCCATCTCCGCAGTTTACCCTCCTGCTTAGCACGCGCAGATGAACCTGACCCTCCAGGCTGACTGACCCAGGGTGCTGTCTGACCTTCGTCATTCCCAACATGGCAAGGGAGGCGGAACCCCCTGTTGCTTTAAATTCGCATTTCGGCCATGATTAAAGAGGTTGGACGTGTTTTCGTCAGTCAGTCACGCTGTCTGTTGGCCCGTTCACCCTTGTACAACAGGGCTGGCCATCATTTTGTTCTGCAGCTTCAGAGAGGAAATATTGCTGGCTTTGTGGGCCATGGGGTCTCCGTCACAGCCATTCAGCTCAGGCCCCAGTGCAGGCAGCCATGTAGATGAGTGGGCGTGACTGCGTTCCAATCAAACTTTATTTACAACAACAGGCAGCGGGCCAGGTCTGGCTTATGGCCAATCGTTTGCCAATCTCTGCTGCCGTGCACGAGTACTTCTGGCCAATGTGTAGCGAGTAACTTCCATTAGGATGCGGCTGGTCTGTCTGCCTACTGTCTCCTGTGTTTGAGTGGAATTCTCATCCCGAGTCTACACAGTATACAGATTTGCTGAGACTCAGCGCCTGCCAGGCCTGGGTTCATTTCCCACCTCGTCTGAAAGGGGATTCAGACCCCCTGCAAGGCCAGGGAGAACATCTAACAGGGATGTGGTTCAAGGGCAGACGGCACTGCCTCGGCGTGCAGGGAGGACCCTGGATGGCTCTCGGGGCGGGCGAGCAGGACAAAGGCCCAGGAGCCAGGAGCGCGGCTCTACAGCGGCCACGTGCCCCGCGTCCGAGTGCCGTGCCCTGCAGAGCCCCCTCCCCCACCACCCCGCAGTGCCCCCAGGAGCACTCACCTGGCTTGATGGGCTGCCTGTTGGAGAAGGTCAGAGGCGCCACCAGGAACCTGGTCTCTGCCACGGGCACCCAGTGGTGGAGGATTTTCACCGTCCAGACCCCAGGCCGCAGCGGCAAGTTCAAAGGGGGCTTGTAGTGGGTGAACTCGGCAGTGGACTCGATGAGGATGTCGTAGGTGGCGGCGATGATGTTGACAGGGTCCACCCAGACGACGGTCACGGTCACGTTGGGCCCCTTGCCCCACTTCTGCATGCCCACCGGTTCATCCAGGGGCCCCAGGAGGCCCCCAAAGTTGCGGAACAGCCGCTCCTTGGCATCCCAGTCGGTGCCAACCTGAAACAGAAGAATGAGTCCTGAGACCACGGGGCCTGAACCAGGGGCTGGGTCTGCTCATTCAGCTTTATGTACCCCTTATACAGGTGAGAAACAGAGACCTCAATTAAATCAACTGCTTAAAGTTGCACTGCTAGGAAGCAGAAGAACTGGGATTTGGGGCCAGTCTGGAGATCACAAGGCCTGTGGTCCCTTCACGAACCATTGGGTCTTGTGTGCCCAGTACGTGGTGTGTGCTTGGGAACGCCCACGCCCCGAATGCAGGCAGGAATGTGTGAACGAGTGCAGGAAGCGCTCCCGGTGAGCAGGCACAGCTGGCTTCTGTGTGGGTCCTTGGTTTTCCAAACTACATTGGGAACGACTGCTCGGGAAAAGAAGAGAGCTCAGGGTTCGGAGTTGTTCTGGCACAAGCTAGGACAGAGTGGGGACCCTCAGCCTTGCCTGTCCTCTGCAGGAGCTCAGTGGCTCTCCTACGAATGGACAGTGCTGGCTCCCCAAAACACCCTGAACGGCACCGCTGGGATGGATGACATCACATAACTCACCTTCCCCCAGCCGGCTGATGTGTGTGTGTGTGTGTGTATACATGTGTATGTGTTTGTGTGTATGTGTACATAGGTGTGTTGTGTGTATGTAGCTTTAGCAATTAGCTTTAGGTTTCTCTCCTTCCATGTTTGTTACCCACAATTTTTAAAATTTTCAAATATATTTTTATTTATTTGAAAGGCAGTGTCAGAGAGAGAGGGACAGAGAAAGAGAGGCCTTCCACCTGCTGGCTCACTCCCCAAATGGCTGCAAAGGCCGGAGCTGGGCCAGGCCAAAGCCAGGAGCCAGGAGCCTCTCTGGGTCTCCCATGGGGGTGCAGGGGCCCAAGAACTTGGGTCATTCTCCACTGACTGCCCAGGCGCATTCGCAGGGAGCTAGATCGGAAGTGGAACAACCGGAATGTGAACTTGAATATGGGATGCTGGTGTCACAGGCAGTAGTGTCATCCTCTGAGACCAACCCCTGCCGTCTACAACTTATTCTCTGCCCAGAAAAACCCCGCCACATGTTCTCTCACTGTTCAACCCCCTGCAGCCTCCCAGTGCTCCAAGGCCCCAGTGGGCCCCTCCAGCACCATCTCACCCGAGTCCTTCCCGCCCCAGGGTCCTGCTCGAATCACCCCCTCCTCACATGTCTGGGCAGCCAGCCAGCGACCTTCAGGGTCCACTCTCCTGACCTCCCAATCGAAGGGGGCCCTGCAGCCGCTCGGGGTCACTCCCCTGGGTCACACCCCACTGCCCCACAGCCACTCCATGTCACTCCCCCCATCAGCCCCTCCCCCCTGCAGCCGCTGTGTCATCTCCCCGATCCGTCATTCCCCCCACCCTGTCTCCTCCTGCAGTGGGGAGCAGCACTGTTTGGGAGCAGTCTCTCCGTGTCTTATTCCTCATCTCACACACTCCGTGTGCCTGAGGGCTCCGTGTGCTTGTGTCTGCTCGGCTCTCTGCTCTTTCTGGGTGCCTAGTGTGGGCTCTGCACACAGCAGGTGCTCAAGCAGTGTGCATTCAAGGAATGAGTGAACAGTATGATCAAAAAGCCAATCACCCATGTAGATCCCTGACCTTGAGTCTTTTCAGCTCAACTCAAATTGGGGAATATTCGAATTGCAGAACATGGTGGACTCTCCCTGGAGGCGGCATTCGGTGTTTCTGAGAACACAGCAGACGGGGGAGTGCTCTGCACGGCCACTGGGACTTTTCTGCGTGGCCTCTCTTAATGGCCCAGGGTGCTGCAGGTGGGCAGGTGCATGTGGGTAAACATGGGCGCCCGCTCAGAGTACGCGTGCGCAGGGCAAGCAGAACGGATTTCCTTCTGCCTTGTGCTTGTGGCAAGTCCGCAGTGCGCTCCTCACCGGGACATGGAGCTCCTTGGCTGGGCTTTACCGAGGGCGTAACACGCACCGGGCGCAATGCGAAGCCCTTGGCTGCGTCCACTCATTTCCTACTCCAAGTTCCATAAAGGAGAGGCCCTGCCACTTCTCTCACTGTCCAGATGAAGTCACTGAGGCTCAGAGAAGCGGGACAGCTTGCTGTGGTCAGGGCGAGGCACGGGGACCCCCGAGTGTGACCCCAAGCTGCATTCTTATTGCCCACGCAGGACACAGCCCCTCCCCCACTCCCCGCTCCTGGCCTGGAGCCCGAGTGCACTGGCAGGTGCACATCTGGTGTCAGGCTCCCCAGGTGGTCACGGCTTGGATGCTCCTGCAGGGGCTGTGGGTCCTCCTGAGTGGGAGGGACCCCTTGGGGGTCTGCAAGGACAATGTCCTGAGGAGCCTGGCACCTGCTATAGGCCCTGGGCGCAACAGGAATTAAAGCAACACTGCTTAGCAAAGGAACAAGTGAATGAACAAGCCTCAATTCAGGCCTCATGGCCTTGGAGATCTTCCCGAAGAAATCTGACCTCAGTTTCCCTATTTGTCACCCCCCTATCTTAAGTGCGGCCCCTCCCCCAGCTTGGGGAGAGCTTTCTGGTCTGGCTAGCTTCTCCTCTCTCCCACCTCTCCCTCCACCCAGCCCTTGGCTCCAGGTCACCCTGGAGTACTCTCAGCACTCCTGTATGACCTGTTTTTGGACCAGACATCCATCCTTTGCCCTCCTCTCAGCCAGCTGGAACCCAGCCCCCGCCTGCGGCCCGGGCATCGCCTCTACTCAGAAGTCCACCAGGCAGAGGGAGCACGGAGGTGCCTCTCCAGGACCTGCACAGCTGTGTGTGCTCATTCACATCTCTCTCCCCTCAGCTCCGGACTCCTGCATGAAGGCACGGATGTCTGGCTCACTTACAGACATACCTCTAGGGCTAAAAACAATGCTGAGCAAACAGTCGGCGCTCAATTATCTATCTACCTGCTTACCTATCCATCCATTTATACATTATCTGCATCAATCCACCCATCCATCCATCTATCTATACATTATCTATCATCTATCATCCAACTATCACCTATCAATCTATCAATCATCAGTCTGTGTATCTGTCATCTGTCTACCTTGAACTTGAACACACACGTAACGAGCAGGGGCCGAGAACATGGACTTCCGTATGCACCCAGACCCTCCACACACTGGTTTTCAACAGATGCCATCAGAGTGGAGGAACGGTCACAGGACTACTTCGGGGTGACACTAACGGAAGGGCTCGGAAACCACTGAGGGCAATTCAGGGACCCGCCCTGGAGCCTGCTGGGGAGTGAAGACAAACGATGCAGACGCGAACTCACGAGAAACCCGAGCGGCAGAGTGGGGATAACTCAGGCAGGCGAGCGGCGCAGCGACCGCGGGAAGCCAGGGGCCTTCTTTCTGAACGAAGGAGCGCGAGGATTTAGCTGGCTGCTGCCGCAGGCACGAGGGGAGGAGGCGCGGCCTGGGACGCAGCCCTGTGGCCGCCACATCCTCCGTGACCCCCAGGGTCGTCTCGCTGGGCCCACTGTGGACATCTGTTGCATTTACCTCCAAGTGATCCATCACCCAGCTTTAAATACACGTTCAAGTTCAAGCCGAACACACTGCTCCCAGCTTCCAACCCGCTAAGGGCTTCCCGCTGCGCTTGAGATACAATGTGCACCTCTCTCCAGGGCCTGCGAGACCCCTGCGCCCCACCCCTCTCCCGCACTCACTGTGCTCTGGCTGCATTGACCTTGTTGCTCTCCTTGAGTCTCCGAGCTGCTCCCCCGAGCCTCAGGGCCTTTGTACACGCTCTCCTCGCTGCGTAGAATGTTTCAGACCACCCAGGCCTGGTTCTTTTTTTAGCCTTCAGCTGTAAGGTTATCTCCTTAGAAAAGCTGCCTCGAAGGAATTATCCCATTGAAGGCAGTCCCTGTCATTCCCCAAGGCCCCAGCTATCATACAAATGAAATTTTATTTTCTCTATGATATTGTTATTAGCCAAGCTGTCTTTGTTCATTTATTTGCTCGCTCACTGGCAGGCTGCCCAGCCAGACTGTGATTCCATGGCAACGGGGCCTGGGTGGTGTGGTCCGCCGCTGTCCCTCCTGAAGCCAGCACATCGTAGGGACTCAGCGGCTTGCAGGAGTGAGTCTCTCCTCCCCAAGCCAATGGCACTGGGTGCACACGAACTGGGGAAATGCGTCTGAACGGCTCAGCTGCACTGGCCACCTGCCGTGAGCTGGGCACCTTGCAAGGCCCTGGGACAGTGCTAAGCCCAGGGAGATGCTCACCGGCCCCCAACACAGCCCTGTAGTTCCTCACCACCTCCACGCTCAATTTCACAACTCTGCCCTTACCAACAATGAAGAATTCACAAACTCCAAGTCCATATATCTGCAGCCATCCTGTAGGTTCTCACACCAGGCGGTCCTACTGCGGGAACCCTCCCCGATCAGTAGCTGTGCAGTGGCTAATACCGTTTGTCACTGGCGCAGGTACCCAGTCAGCCCCCAGCAGGCTGGTAAACCGGGAGAGCCCAGGCACGAGACATTCACGTCTCTAGTGGGCTGCTTGGGCTCCGGGACAGCGTCAGCGGGGGCAAAAAGGCTAATTGCCCACTGCTGCTGGTCATTCCCGGAGCTACTGTGGCAGCTCAAAGCCAGCTCACGCATTAGGAGCTCTGCCGACAATGATATCTTCGCAAGACACTCTTAACTCACTTGTTCAGCGGGGTGCAGGGCTGGAGAAAGACTTGCAAGGGGAATCCAAGCAGAGGGGACCCCCATTTCACCCTGGCTGTGCCCCACAGGTCCCTCCTCCATATGGACTTCGACCCTACACCCGCAGCTGAGCTCGCTGAAAGGAACCGGCCCCTGAGCTACTTCCTGACGTGGGGAGGTGGAAGCCAGGTGCTGGGGGTTCGTGTGGACAACACCTGCCACACCTGCCACGCTAGACCATGCTTCCCCTTCCTGCCCGTGTCGCCACCCAAGTGCCTTCCGTCCGCATTCGCAGGTGTAACTCAGCCTCCACGAACCACACGGACTGCCAGTGATGGGTGGCACCTGCAGGTGACAGGACTCTTGGGCTAGGGACACAGCTGTGGAACAGGGCTCCAGGTCCAGCCTTCTTGTGGACAGCCAAAGAACAACCAGACCAATCAAGATATGTAACACCTTACGTGGTGTTGGAAAAAATAAAATAGGACAGTGTCAGGTGGACAGTGTCATGTCAGTGGCCACAAAGGCTTCTCTGTGGGTGCATCGCTTGGATTTAGGTAACAATGACAAAACAGCGTTATCTAGAGCTGGGACATACTTTTTCTATGGGGGGCATTCGAGGTGGGGGTTTTGCACACACCAGGCTGTGTGTGATGAAGACAGAAGGAGCGTGAGAGGGGAAAGAGTGGGGTGTGGCTGGGGAAGAAACAGTTCGGATCATGCGAGGCGTTTTGGGTCTATGGGCAGGGCTGGTGATGCCTGGGTAGATAACAAACCAAAAGCTGATGCTATGTCAGGAGGGAGACGCCATACTCTGCGGACCATGCAGCAGTCCATCTGTCTATCCACTGACTGTCCACCTGTCCATCCACCCAGCCATCCATCTACCCCACCCACCTACCCCTGTACCCACTGATGTATTCAATGATACACCTGGTGCTTATGTTGTGATAACCTGTCTACACAGGAACTAGCGAGAAAACCACCACAGGCATATGATTCATGACCAAAGAGACCGGGTTTGGTGTGGCGCTCTTTCACTCCTTAGCTCTGATCCAGAAAATTCCAGGTTCATGAGGGAGAACTTTTGCTTCCTAGATCTGGTGCAACAAAGCACTGGATTTCCATAAGCCTCAGTGGTCCAACCTGTACAATGGGATGAACGCCGCTACTTCATTAGCAAGTGGATTTGGCACCTGTCAATCACTGGCAGGTTTAGGAGGAGTTGCTGGCTAAGACGAAAACGGAAGAGGAGCAGAAACTCTATTACAATACAGACCAAGCTTCTGCTGACGAAACCACCCTACCGTCCCTCTCTCCTGCTGGTTTAAGGTGCCGGTCCCGGTATTCAGGGCTGGCTCATCTGTAGGGCTAAGTCCCCTGCTGCTCTGTCTGCAACACAAGAGTCAGACTGCGAAACAGAATGCAGCACGTTGACGCGTGGAGGTGTCCGGCCTCTTACCTCGGAAAACTGAAGCCTCCCGAAGTCACTGGGAGGACTGGCGACCTTGAAGACCTTCTTGGGCATCACCCACGTCTCTAGAGTCTCCAGTTTGCTCACGGCCAGGTTGGTCGCATGGTGCTTGACCAGAAAGCCCTGGAAGCGGTCGGCAAGGAAGTAGAGGTGGACGGAGGCGGGGTGGCCCATTGGGTAGTACCTGCAAAGGCGGCAGTGGCAGCGCATGAGTCAGGGAACGAGTGTGTGGGGCCGCAGGGGGGCTGCGCTGGTTCCGCTCCTCAAGCAGCCCGGTGGGTTACCAGGCCTACTGGATCCTTCTGTGACTGTCTGAAAGCCCATTCCTAGGTCAATGCTCCCAAAGACTATGAATAAATGTGTTGATTCTAAATGTAAGATATGCAGACTGCAGGAAAGCAAAGAAAATGACCACGTTTGATGCCTTCTCCCATAAACAATGTCAACTCACCGATATTTATGGAGCCCCCTGTTGCTGGGGGCTGGGGAGTGACGCTGTGGGAGCGCCGTCTATCCTAGCAGCGAGCTTGCCTTCAGCCTTAGTCCCTACGCATATATTTGCATAAAGACTCCAGAGTTGGGCTCCTATGACATACACCCACTAGGTCTTGCTTTTGCTCCATGGTATTTCCGAAGCATTACCACACGCCTTTGAAAAGTCCCTGAAAACAGGAGTATGTGTGTGTGTGTATTCACGGTATTGCATTCTATGTAGAAACATTTTATAGAGCAAGTTGCCTATCATTGAATGAAAGTTTCAATTTTTTGTAATTCTAAACAATGCTGCATTAAAAATCTTTGGGCAAAAATTTTTTTTTGGAACATTTCTCATTCTTTAAATTTTTATTTATTTGACAGAAAGAGTTAGACAGTGAGAGAGAGAGACAGAGAGAAAGGTCTTCCCTCCGTTGGTTCACCCCCCAAGTGGCCGCTACGGCCGGCGCACTGTGCCGATCTGAAGCCAGGAGCCAGGTGCTTCCTCCTGGTCTCCCATGCAGGTGCAGGGCCCAAGCACTTGGGCCATCCTCCACTGCCTTCCCGGGCCACAGCAGAGAGCTGGACTGGAAGAGGAGCAACTGGGACTAGAACCCGGCGCCCATATGGGATGCTGGCGCCACAGGCAGAGGAATAACCAAGTGAGCCACGGTGCCGGCCCCTCATTCTCTTTTTTAACCTCTAAAGGGCTCTGTGTCTGCTGCCTAATTTTATCAAGAGTCCTGATGTCTGCTTCCTTTGTCTTTCTCATCACCAACAGGGGGCATCATCTTGCAAAATTACCACCAACCTTCAGGGCAAGTTTTTGGCACAGCATTGAAGACACCAATTTGGACACCGGCATCAGAGTGCTGGGCTGGAGTCCCTGCCTGGCTCCCAATCCAGCTTCCTGCCAATGTGCACCTGGGAGGCGGCAGGCAATGGCTCAAGGTCTTAGTTTCTTACGTGGGAGCCTGGATCGAGTCCTGGGTTCCTGACTTTGGCCTGGCCCAGTGCTGGTATTGAGGCAATTTGGGGAGTGAACCTGAGTGTGGAAAATCTCTCTGTCTCCATCACTCTGCCTTTAAAATAAAAACAAATAAAACTTTTAAAAAGTTTTGCCAGCCAGTGCCGCGGCTCACTAGGCTAATCCTCCGCCTGCGGCGCCGGCACACCGGGTTCTAGTCCCGGTCGGGGCGCCGGATTCTGTCCCGGTTGCCCCTCTTCCAGGCCAGCTCTCTGCTGTGGCCTGGGAGTGCAGTGGAGGATGGCCCAAGTGCTTGGGCCCTGCACCCACATGGGAGACCAGGAGGAAGCACCTGGCTCCTGGCTTCGGATCAGCGTGGTGCGCCGGCCGCAGCGGCCATTGGGGGGTGAACCAAAGGAAAAGGAAGACCTTTTTCTCTCTCTCACTGTCCACTCCGCCTGTCAAAAAAAAAAAAAAGTTTTGCCAATTTGAAAGAAATGCAGACACATACACATGTTTACATAAAAAGAAATTCATGGAAAATGGAACTATTGCAGTGCAAAAACTTTAAAATCCACACGTCGTTTCTGTAGGATACACACTCTCCCTGGGCTTCACCGCTGTTTCCCCACCCCCGCCTGATCCAGCGGGCGTGCCTCACGTCTCTGGTCTGTGATGCCCTGCTGCCAAGGTCAGCAGAGATGCCCGGAGAAGCTGAGGGAGCACGGAACAAGGCAGCTCCTCATCCTCCCTCCTTGGAAAATCAAAGCTGCTACTTTTGCATAGCACTAACAGCGCGATCCTGGCTCCTTAGTAACCACATTCCACAGCGCAGGCCTTCCCTCTGGCCTCAATCTGGAGTTTCCAGTCTTCACGTCCATTTGTAAGGGCCAGGGAAGCTGCCTTCCGGAGTCGCCACGTCCCCTGCCGTCACTGCCTGTGACTGGGACGCCTCTGTGGGCTCTACATGAACAGCCTGCACCATCTTCGGATCTCCGTGTTCCTGGCCCGTGCAAGCATGCTTGGATCTGGACTTGGGGAGGGGACAGCGCTGGCCCGTGCTGCTGTCAAGCCTCAAGAAGCCCTCCACATTTCCAATGCCCCTCCTGCTTTAGGAGAGCACGCCTGGCAGAGGGCGAGGCATTGGGAACAGGATCGAGTTACCCAAAGCCATCCCAGGTCAGCCAGTTCAGAGCCCGGGCAACAGAGCTGCTGTCCTGATCTGTGGCTGGCGGCAGGTGCAGCAGTGCAGCCAGCCTGGATGGAGGAGCCTGCCCGCCTGACCTGCACATGTAAGCACAATGCCAAGGCTGCTCACTGACATGCTGATCTGGGGTGTGTGTGTGTGTGTGTGTGCACGCGCTGTGTGGCATTAGCATGACAACAGATGTGTGACGCACTGCCAGTGTGTGACCTGTAAGGCGGGGCAGGAAGGCAGGCAGGTGCGCTTGAGTCTTGGGAATCAAAGAAAGAACGAGCTTCCAGAAAGAAGTGAGAGGTTGTATGGGATATTGGGGGGGGGGGGACACGAAAATGAGCGCTGTGTTGCACATTCTAGAACCCGAGGTGTTCACCTCGGCTGGTTTTTCCTCCCTTTTCTATCAGGGAATTCTGTTGTTCCCACCCGAACCCGTCCTCTGCTCTCCCTCGGCCCGTGTCCTGCTCCAGGATCAGGCCCCACCCGGAGCTCTGCAGGACCCCCTCTCCTGTCCCTCTCCCTATCCACTGCAACCCAGTCTCACAACAGCCACGTCCATCAGTCCCTGTTCAGTGCCGTAAGGGCTGCTTTTTTTTTTTTTTTTTTTTGACAGGCAGAGTGGACAGAGAGAGAGACAGAGAGAAAGGTCTTCCTTTGCCGTTGGTTCACCCTCCAGTGGCCACCGCAGCCGGTGCACTGTGGTCGGTGCACTGCGCTGATCTGACGGCAGGAGCCAGGTGCTTTTCCTGCTCTCCCATGGGGTGCAGGGCCCAAGGACTTGGGCCATCCTCCACTGCACTCCCGGGCCACAGCAGAGAGCTGGCCTGGAAGAGGGGCAACCGGGACAGAATCCGGCGCCCCGACCAGGACTAGAACCCGGTGTGCCGGTGCCGCAGGCGGAGGATTAGCCTAGTGAGCCGCGGCGCCGGCCCTGTAAGGGCTTTGCTCAATGCTTGCAACAGAATCCAAACTCCTTCCCTGGTCTACCAGGCCCTTGTCTCTTTCTCTGGTTGCCCTAGTCCGCGATCCTCTAGCCGCAAGGGAATCAGTTTGGATTCTGCAACACATGAACAGCTGCTCTCCACCCCAGGGCGTTTGCACAGGGTGTTCTCTCCGCTGGAATGCACGCCTCTCCTTCCAGGTGCATGGTCTTAGCTTTACCACCACCACGCTGGAGACCACGTCCTTGAACGCTGATTGGCTCATTACTGTCATGTGACTCGACTTTCGGCCTCAGCATTTACTTTTATTGGCCTTTTGTTCTGGTTTCCTAATGCTTAGGTACTGTCTGTCTTCACATTAGAATGTGAGGGCCTTGGGTTCCGGGGCCTGATCCATTTGGGCTGTGGATGCATGCCCCACGCCTAACAGAGTCTGACACTTGGAAGATGCCCAATCAACAGCTGCTCAATGGGTGAAACTTCTAGAAGAGTTTCCTCTAAGGAACACCAAGGGTGCCTAAACCTCTCTGGTGCCTCCTCTCGACTGCACTTGAGGTTTATGTCACTGGAACTGTGACTTCTGGGGAAGAGAAAGACTCAAGACGCAGTGCAGAAAGCGACAGGGAGGAGGCTGTGGCCCGGCAGCTGACGCCACCGCCTGAGGCACGCACACCCCACGGCGGGGAGCCTGGAGCATGTACCAGCTCCTCCACTTCTGCTCCAGCTCCACCCTCATGTCCCCGGGAGGCAGCAGATGGTGGCGCACACACCTGGGTTCCTTCCACTCAGGTGGGCGGCTTGGATGAAGCTCCTGGTTCCTGGCTTTGCCCTGGCCAAGCCTTGATTGTTATAGCCATCTGGGGAGTGAACCAGTGGATGGAAGACCTCTCTCTCTCTCTACCTTCCAAATAAAAAAAAATAAATTTCCTTTTTTTAAAAAAAGACTTATTTATTTATTTGAAAGTCAGAGCTGCACAGAGAGAGGAGAGGCAGAGAGAAAGAGAGAGGTCTTCCATCCGCTGGTTCACTCCCCAGTTGGCCACAATGGTCAGAGTCGGGCTGATCCAAAGCCAGGAGCCAGTAACTTCTTCTGAGTCTCCCATGTGGGTGCAGGGGCCCAAACACTTTGGCCATCTTCTACTGCTTTCCCAGGCCATCACAGAGAGCTGGGTCAGAAGTGGAGCAGCCGGGACTTGAACCAACACCCATATGGGATGCCAGCATTGCAAGCAGCAATTTTACCCGCTACGCCACAGCATGGCCCCATAAATAAATCTTTTAAAAGTTATCTCCAGGATACTGCAGGTACATTCCTTTGGCCCAAATGTGTTTTTTTTTTCCTATTATTTAAATAAAAAAAATTAGGTGCTGAAAAAAATTAGGAAATTCACATAAAAATCTGGATTTTTGATTTCTCTTGAAAACTCAAGAGAACCGGCTGTCACTCCAAGTGTAATTCCCAGAAATGGCCTTCCAGACACAGCTCTCAGCCCATCCTGCAGGGGCCACGCTGAGTGACACACGCTACCCACCTGGCCCTGGAGGGCACCTGAACTTGGGGACCTGTGCTGACACACACAGATCCTCATCTCTGGACAGGGGTTCCCAAACGGGCTTTCTACTCTTGCTCTCTCCGTCTGCCACTTCCAACACCCCTGAAATCCACATGTGTTGTTTTCTAATAAGAACAAATCAATGAATGTTATTCTGATGAAAGGTTTTACTCCAACTGGAAGGGCCCGATGTGCCTGCGAGGCCCAGATGAGACGAGGTTCTTGGTACACCTGTTGTCCCCCAGATGCCTCTGGGATTAGAGGTCCTTGGTCCTGATTTATTTGCTGTCTCCAACTCATAAATACATGGCATTGCCCACAGCGAGGCACCATGGTTCCATCACAATAAAAAATGAGGAAGAAACCAAAGAAACCCAAGCCCGAGGCAGCTTGATGGCTCACTTCATTTCAAAACAAGTACCAGGAGAAAACGCCAACAACCTTAAATAGATTGGGGGTGTCTTTTGGAATTTGCTGTACGATCGTTTACCTTACCCATTCTGGAAGCCCAGCGTTAGAACTGTTGTTGAATGGCACCTCCCTCCCAAGTCTCAGGCCTTGTGCTGTGTCCTGGGGACACACATGGTGCGGCCCAGGCACACAGAGGGGAAGACACTGGCGACCTTGACCCAAGGCACTGACGCTGCGTGCAGTGCGTGTGTTGGAGCTGAAGTCTCTGAGCCACTTTTGTCTCGCGGGAGGTTGGGACTTCGGCTACTTGGGGTAGTTCAAGAGCTCGGCAGAGAAGCTGGTGCCGGGACACACTCTGATGCCGGAACAGGTGACGGTGAGCGAGGAAAGCAGAGTGAGAGCCGCGAGGTGCATCTCACCCTGCAGGCTCCCTAGTGACTGAGGACGGCACCCGGGGGACCAGCACCAGATTGAGTGCTGGCGAGCGCCTGGCAGGTGCAACTCTGACAGGGAATAATGAGACCGCGTGGCACAGGGAGCGCGCTCTGAGGACGACTGCTGTTGGACCGCACGGCTCCTCATGGTGCAGGCAGGGTCCTTCTGACCTGAACAGAGGCTCAGAGAGGTGCAGGCCTTGCTCAAGGGCAAGAGCCAGTGAGCAGAGCTGAGGTCGACTGTAGTCACCCGCCCCGCCCTTTATACAGACGCCGCACCTACAGGGACACTTGTGTCACCTGTGTCACCCGTGTGACACGCTGTCCTAGCCCCGCAGAGACTCGCCTGTGCCTCCAGAGTTCTGAGGAACACAACAGTTCCTGTCTCCTCCTGCCTCCCTCCATGAACAGAGGGAGGAGTGGGACAAAGATGACACACAAGAGAAGGCACAGTGAGAACCGACTGGGGGGTGGGGGGAGAGCAGGCGTTCCTGGGTGTTTTCCCTCAGGACAAAGAGCCCCGAAAGTCTGCAGTTGCACGGTTACCGTCCATCAAGACAAACAGTGCCAGATACTATGGGGACACAGGGCTACCTGCCAGGGCACTGGGACGGTGGTGCAGGCAATCTATTCATAGGCAGAGAGAGAGGAAGCAAGGGGTGGGAGCATGCGGCCCAGAAGGGGCAGGAGGCAGGGACCCCTCTGCACCCGGCCCCCTCTGCACCCGGCCCCCTCTGCACCCGGCCCCCCCTGCACCCGGCCCCCTCTGCACCCGGCCCCCTCTGCACCTAGCTCCCTCTGCACCTGGGCCCCTCTGTACCTGGGCCCCTCTGCACATGGCTCCCTCTGCACCTGGCCCCCCTCTGCACCCGGCCCCCTCTGCACTCGGCTCCCTCTGCACATGGCCCCCCTCTGCACCTGGCCCCCTCTGCACCTGGCCCCCTCTGCACATGGCTCCCTCTGCACCTGGCCCCCCTCTGCACCCGGCCCCCTCTGCACCCGGCTCCCTCTGCACATGGCCCCCCTCTGCACCTGGCCCCCTCTGCACCTGGGCCCCTCTGCACCTGGCTCCCTCTGTACCTGGGCCCCTCTGCACATGGCTCCCTCTGTACCTGGGCCCCCTCTGCACATGGCTCCCTCTGTACCTGGGCCCCCTCTGCACATGGCTCCCTCTGCACCTGGGCCCCCTCTGCACCTGGCTCCCTCTGCACCTGGGCCCCTCTGCACCTGGCTCCCTCTGCACATGGCCCCCCTCTGCACCTGGCCCCCTCTGCACCTGGGCCCCTCTGCACCCGGCCCCCTCTGCACATGGCCCCCCTCTGCACATGGCCCCCCTCTGCACCTGGCTCCCTCTGCACCTGGGCCCCTCTGCACATGGCCCCCTCTGCATCCGGCCCCCTCTGCACCTGGGCCCCTCTGCACATGGCCCCCCTCTGCACATGGCCCCCCTCTGCACCCGGCCCCCTCTGCACCTGGGCCCCTCTGCACCCGGCCCCCTCTGTACCCGGGCCCCTCTGCACCCGGCCCCCTCTGCACCTGGCTCCCTCTGCACCTGGCCCCCTCTGCACCTGGCTCCCTCTGCACCTGGCTCCCTCTGTACCTGGCCCCCCCCTGCACCTGGGCCCCTCTGCACCTGGCCCCCTCTGCACCTGGCCCCCTGATAGGGCTCACCTGCAACTGTTCTCCCCATCCGTGTGCAGCGATGCCTCTGCCCGGCGCAGCCCCAGGCGGGCGAAGGAGTGGTACAGGGTGAGCGCCACATCGCTCAGGCTCTGGACGCCGTCGGGCTCGTCGTAGACGTTCTCCCAGTAGGAGCGGAGGCCGGGGGTGCCCGCCGGGTAGTTGCCGTACAGGTAATAGTCCAGCTGCCCGATGATCTCCTGATTGACCACGGCTTCGAACTTGCGCGCAAAGAAGGTGGGCCGGGCGGTCTGCTGTGCTCGTGGGAGGAGAAAAGGCCGCATCAGCAAGCGATGGGGAAGGGGCTGGTGGCCCCCAGCTTTTCCCGTGGTTAGGAGCAGGGCCCCCCAGTCAGCCACCTGCATCCAGGCTCCAGCTCTGACACCTGCGGACCTCCCTGCTCTCAGTTTCCTCATCTGCAAAATGGGTTGGAACGAGGGTGGGAGGCGGAGTGAATGGGTGAAGTCCTGGGATGCAGTTAAAGGGATGATGTGCACTTGGTAAGCGGCGTTCGAATGCCTGTTACTAAATGAAATCGCACACTGCTAGCTGTGGACATACGTAAAACAGCCCCATTCCCTGAGGAGGGGATTACAGCCTCGCGTCTCTCTCATCTCGACAGCAGGCAGCGAGGTCTTCCATCTACCGGTTTGCTTTCAACATCAGGGTTAGGGCAGGTTAAAGCCGGGAGCCCAGAATTCCCTCTGGGGCTCCCGCACTGGGGGAGGGGCAGGGGCCCAAGTCCTCGAGCTGTCATCTTCCGGGGCCCAGGGTGCGCATGCAGGAAGCCGGCTCAGAGGCGGAGGTGGGACCTGCCCCCAGGCACGCGCACGTGGACAGGCTGAACCACTGCACCGCAGCGCCTCCCTCTCTCGGGTTCTGCACCTAGGTTTGCACTTCAGTGGACGACTGGGCACAACAGGGCTAACGACCTCGGAGCAGGGCTTCTCCGCGGGGCGCTGCGCGTGCGCGCTGTGGCTCGGGTCCTCCCGCGGGGTCAGCAGGAAAGGTCGTCTTCCCATTTCACGGATGAGGAACGAGATGTACAGACTCTCCTAGTGGTATGACTTGAACTCAGATCTGATGGCTCTGAAACCCACTTTTTTTTTTCCTGTAGTCCTCTAGAATTGAGCTATTGGAAACTGGAAACCCCCGACAATAAACATCCTTTGTATTGTTCTAAACATCCCACCACCTCTCTGCTGTACGACCCTGGGGGCCCCTCTCTGGGGTGGGAGGCTCAGCTTGACTTCTTCACGGAAGCACTGGAATGGGTGGGATCCCCTGAGTGCAAACCTCACTCTGCTGCTTTCTAGCTGTCTATGCCTCTGGGCAAGCCATCCAAACGCTCGGGGCCTCAATGTCCTCATCCTGAGAATGGGTATACACACAATGCATGCATAGACTGAAACACCAAGCGGTACCCTACAAAAATGAACACGTATGTGTGTGTCAATTAAAACAATGTGTGTATCTATATGTATATAAAGAAACAGACACCTGTAAGATGAAATCTATAAATAGGAACAGCCTTGGAAAGATGCCCACTTGTGTGGTACAATGATTAGGTCATGACAGTAGGACTATGAGTGATATTTGGAAATTTTTTTTGTGCATTTGCTACAAAAACATACTTTAAAATCACTAAGCAAGGTTTTAGCAACGAGCAAGCCCGTCCACCTTGAAACAATGGGTCTGACCACATAGGTTCTTAGCACACACTGTCTCTAGCCCCCGGCTGGCTCCCAGGCGCCCACCTATTCAGGGGCCTGCGAGTCTCCATGTTCCGGAGGGGTGCAGAGCCAGCCTCAGTACCAGGGCAGCCTCTTCTCCCTGCCTGTGAGCCTCTGACCACGGCTGGGGCTTCTCAAAGGGCATGTTTCTATATTTATCGCGCTCCTTCTCAGGGCTCTTTGAACAAGAACTCCGAGTTCCTTACAGGCAGCCGTGGCTTGATTCTGGATGTCGGGGGAGACTGTTGACCTTTGTTGACTGTGGAAGAACACGCTGTGGGCGCCTGATGTGGTCTCTCTGTTCGCCAGTCTTTCCCCCAGGAGGCTGGGGCTGCAACGCGAACGCTGCCTCCCGCGCTCCCGGAAGTCCCACGCTGAGGCTCTGGGCCACTTGCTCTCAGGGATGGGGATCTTTGAAACAAGGACAGCCACCGGCCCTCTACAGAAGGGGCAGTTTCTTCTCTTTTCCTTCGGAATTGGTCAGACATCCCCCTGCGGCCCCTCCTCTACTCGGCAGACTCTGTCCACGTGGATGGTGCAGAGCTAATGCCACCCAAGTTCACTCCCACGAGAACACGGGTTGGCGGACATCCCTGGGGGGCTCTCAATCTGCCACTGAGAAGGAAGATCCCCTGCTGCAGCCACTTAGGGTGGGGACCTCAAGGACATGCAGGCACCAGGAAGAGGGCTGTGTGCCTGTCTGTGACCAAGAAGGCAGCAGGCTCTGGGGGTAAAAACCCAGTCTGCACTGGAAGCGCCGGAGTAGGACACTCATCTATCCCCAAAATACTCCCTTCACTAGCTGTGTGGCCCTTCCGTGCCTCAGTTTCCCTGCCTGCACAATGGAGTGACGTCAGCCCCAGTGAAGTCGATGCCTACCGAGGGTCTGGCATGTGGCCGGGCGCAGAGCTTACCCAACCTGGTAGCACCCCAGCCACCCTGCCTGCGATCTTGTTAATTGGCTTGATTCTGGTTCAGCTGGGTCTAGAGACAGCTGAGATTCTGTATTTTCAATAAGCTCCCTGGTAATGCTGATGTCTGGGTCTGTGGACCACACCTTGTGAGGCCAGGCTAGGAGGCTGGAAGCTCCGTGCCAACATCATGCATTCCAGGGGCCATTTCAGTTTTTGTCAGCGGTGGGCAGAGTGCCTTGGCCAGGTTTTCAGTCTGGCACTTGCTCAGGGGGTCCCTGTTAGGGGTTTAGGAAGTGGCACACTGTGTCCACGTGGTGGCTCTGGTGACCTCAGAGTGATGTGTTTAACTATTCTGCAGGCTCTCCCTGAGCTTTCTGCAGCTAGAATCTAGATGTGGCTAAGGGGGGGCGGGGGGAGAAGTCCACAGGGTCCCCTCCATCCCAGCCTCCGAGCAGAGTCGGGGGTAGAAGGAGACTGCCATGCGGGATAGGATCTGGGGGCCGAGGCAGCCTCGGGGTTCATGGGACGCAGATGAGCGGTTCCCACCCTCCTGCCTCCGCTCTCCCCAGCACTGTAAATTGCTAGGCTGTGCAGGGACAGCTGTGAAGGTAATAACATTTCTACCGCTTCTTACTCCTTCAAGTTCACAGGGCGCTGTGGTTTCCAAACCTGGCAATTCATCAGAATGTCCCACAGGGTAATACACTAAAGCGGTAAATTCCTGGACCTTGCTGGAGATCAGCAGTTCTCAACTGGGGGTGAGCTGGCCCCCAGGGGGACACCCGGCAGTATCCGAGGACATTCTTGGCCGTCACAACTGGAGGAGGAGTTGGGGGAGGGATGCCACTGGTATTTAGTAGGCAGAGGCCAGGGGTGCTGCTAAACCTCTTATTATGCATAGGACAGTTCCTTGCAACACAAAATGATGCAGCCTCAGTGTTTAGAGGCTAGGGTTGAAAAACTCTGTCCTTGGCACTCAAGTTGACACCCAGAGATATTTTTTCAGAGATTTCAGGGAATTCTGGCTGAAAGGCAACACAGAGAAGTGCATGAATATGGCCTCTGGAAACAGATACCTTGGGATGTGTGATGTTGAGTAAGGTTTTCTGAGCTTCCTATGCCTTGATTTCCCTATCCCTAAAATGGGATAATAATAATAATAATAACAACAACAATACCTATGTTACCAGGTTGTTATAGGGTTAATGAGTCCATACAGACACAGCAGTTAGAGCAGCGCCAGCCTGGAGTAAGCGTTTAAGAGGTGTTGCCCGTTGTTGATGCTTTACCGTTACTATCTACAGCCAGAGCGAGGCACCGTGGGACAAGCTGACCTCCGGGTCTGGCCTGACAATTGTAGGGGCTCCAGGCGAGGTGCGGCTGTGGGGCAGGCAGGGCAGCGGGGCTCACCTGGAAGCGATGGAAGTCCTGCGGCTTGAAGTCGTTGGGGGAGCAGCCGCACCAGTCCACGATGTGCTTGTACTGGCACTTGCAGCCCAGCTTGCGGTTCCAGTTGGTGATGCGCAGGTTGTTGTCCACCATGGTGTCGCAGTGGGGGCTGTTCTCCAGGACCGTGTGGAAGAAGGACTGCAGAGGAGACACAGGCCAGCCCTGAGCCCTCTCCCAGCCTCCCCGGAATGAGCTGGGCGTGGGGACTCCTTCCTGGGGACCAGCGACTGAGAAGGACTTTCTTGGAGACTCATATGTTCTCTCTGCATGCATGTGGGGTCAGCTCTCAGTCCGGTCCAACTCAGGGTATGGCTGGACACTCTGCTGAGAGCGGCTTGATTCTACTTGGAAGTCTAGAGCTCTGAGTGTTTTCCTAAACAGTCCTGCCCCAGTGTCCAGCAGCTACAATCGGACTTCAAGACCTCTCTTGTCAACCCTGTCATCTCCTGTCTGCTCAGTGGACAGGAGATGCCCCTCAGGTAGGTCAGCACATGGGGAACAGAGGAAAACATGGGGGCAATTTTGCAGAAAACCTTGGGCCAAAAGGACTCTTGCTTTGCCAGAATGGACCTGAAACCAAAGGTCTCAGGACCAAGACAGCGTGAAAACACAGGCTGATGGTCTGGAATTTCACCTGTGTGTGAGAGAGGTCAAGTCTGGGGCTGGGAGGCAATTAGGTGCCCCCTGCCTTAGCCACCAGCATAGTGTGAGAACACCAGGAAGGTGTGGGTGCGGCTATTCTCTGTCCATGGTCCTGAAACAGGCACCATTGTTTCTCCCTACACCAAGGACGGTTGGCCACTCTCACCAAATAATCTGATGATTTTGGGAGTGAAGAGCTAACAGAGGGGTGGGGCGCTGTGGCATAGCAGGTAAAGACACCACCTGCAGTGCCGTCATCCCATATGGGCACCGGTTTGAGTCCAGGCTGCTCCACTTCCAATCCAGCTCTCTGTTATGGCCTGGAAGACTGAAGATGGCCCAAGTGCTTGGGCCCCTGCACCCACGTGGGAGACCTGGAGGAAGCTCCTGGCTTCGGATTGGTGCAGCTCTGGTCATTGCAGCCATTTGGGGAATGAACCAGCAGATGGAAAACATCTCTCTCTCCCTCTCTCTCTCTCTCTGCCTCTCTGTAACTCTGTATTCAAATAAATAATCTTAAAAAAAGAGAGAGACATCAGAGAGGAGAGACAATGGCTGCAGCTACCGAGAGATTGCCAGAATGAGGAGGCACAGGAAAGAGAGATGGAGCTTTCTATGCCAACACTGCTCTATGACAACCCCAGCGACCTGGAGAATATATTTCCCCTGCTCTCTGGTTCCTATGGGAAGCTGTTCTGTTACACGTGGATAGGCATAGCCTTCAGCCTTCTCCTAATCTAGGCCCCTGGAGGTGGACTAAGAGGAAAGAGGGGGTAAGGCAGAGAAGCCGGATGGAGGTGGGTCTAGCAGAGACCCTGGCATACACAGGCTCGCGTGCTGGGACAGGGGAGGGGTCCAGAGTGCATGCGCAGCTTCGGCCACCATCAGTGTGGTGGGAAGTTGGATGAAAACAACCAAACTCGAAAAGTATCTCCTCTAAATGGGAGAGTGGGAAAAATGAGGCTCCACCTGCTGCTGCTCCCTGCTGGTCTTCCCATGAAGCCAAATGACATGTCTTTGAACCTGGGTTTAAGCTTGACTCGTCTACAAACTCAGACGAGGCACATATTCTCCAGCAAGCCATGGGCAAAAGCACCCAATTGCCAATTGCCCTGTGTCCTTTCATAATGATGCAGAAATTCCCTGCAAGATAATGGATGAGGACGTTACTGGAATTGAGAGAAAAGGTGATTTTCACTGAAATAGGATTAAAAGCTGATTGCTTCACATGTGTTCAGAATAGTAAAACCTAGCCCAGTGATGACAATCTCTGGGATTTCTGGAATGCAAGCAATGGAGTGGATGCTCTTTTCTACCAGGAAGTGACAGATCAGTACCCCCGTGAGAGAAGGGATTGTCGGTATTGAAAACGTAGCTGTTTCAAGATTGATGACTGCGGAGGACGTCAAAAGTTGACATGAGTGTGTGCAGAGAGGGTGGGCACAGTTGTGCAGGTTACACACTGCACGGTTTCAGGGGTACCATCAACCCTGCGGATATCAGAAGTTTGTAATTTTTTTAAACGATGGTTTCCTGGAAAGTGGCAGGAAAGTGTCTTATTCTAGCCAAATCAGCATGTTGGGGTGATTTCATAACCCAGAGGGGCCAAGTGTGTCGAGCTGGGCAAGGCCCGTTGGTTCTGCCTTGCACAAAGGCATTGTGGGTTGGTGCAGAAGCATCCACAGCCTCTGAGGAGATGGGCTGGGGGCGGGGTGGGCAGAGGCCTCCCGAGGGCTGCAAGGCCCCGGGTAGCTGAGGCCAACACAGGTAGATCCAGCACCATCTTGCCCCACATTCAACATCTTTGCCTCAAAGGCCAGCGCCAGCTGCTCCCTCTGCTGGGAGATCCTCCCTGCAGACTCACCTCGGCGGGGAGCAGGGTGTACGAGTAGAACTGCTTCATCTTCGTCACCAGGTCGTCCGTGGAGAACGTCACGTACTCGACGAACTTCCGGTTCAGGAGGAACCAGTCAGAGCCGCCATCCACCGCGATGCCCTCCGGGATCCGCCGATCCCCCAGGCGCCACATGTGGGCGTCGCACTCCAGGAAGAGCCGGTCCAGGCCCTGCTTCCGGATGAACCTGGGTGAGACAGAGTAGCCCTTAGCTCAAAAGTGTCCTCAGGGAGAGAGCTTCCCCCGGGGCGAAGGAAAAGGACTGGGCTGCAGCAGGGCTGGGCTGACTGAGCGCGCACGGCACGCCAGTGACCCAGCCAGGCTCTGTGCAGTTTCTCTCCTGTCCCTCACTAGGGAGGCAGGTGCTGTGATGGCCCCACTTTACAGATGAGGCCACCAAAGCTTGGACAGCTTCAGGGACTCGCCCAGCACGGTCAGAAGGCAATGACCACCCATTTCACCATCTTCCTTTCTGGAGAACTTTAAAAACAATTATTAATTTCAAAGGCACAGGAAGAGGGACGGTAGAGAGGTAGAGGGTGACCTATCTGCTGGTTCATTCCTCAAGTGATTGCAATAGCTGGGGCTGTGCCAGGCTGCAGCCAGGAGTCTCTAGAGAGCTTCTGAAACAACTTTTCTATGCCCTGGAGGCCTAGGCAGTCTGTGAATGTAGTGCGATCCCTCGTGTAGGAACAAAACTCTTAAATGCACACAGTAAAACATAAAAGGTTATAAAATGCTCCAAACCCCACCAAACTCAAAAGTTACTCAACAGCAATACATGTACTTCTTGATTCACACATTCTATACAAAATTATGAATTTTTTTTTTATTTTTTAAAAGCTTGTTTTTGACAGGCAGAGTTAGACAGTGAGAGAGAGAGAGAGAGACAGAGACAAAGGTCTTCTTTCTGTTGGTTCACCCCCCAAATGGCCGCTACGGCCGGTGTGCTGTGCTGATCTGAAGCCAGAAGCCAGGTGCTTCCTCCTGGTCTCCCATACGGGTGCAAGGCCCAAGCACTTGGGCCATCCTCCACTGCCCTCCCTGGCCACAGCAGAGAGCTGGACCAGAAAAGGAGCAACCGGGACAGAACCCAGCACCCCGACCTGGACTAGAACCCGGGGTGCTGGCGCCTCAGGCGGAGGATTAGCCTAGTGAGCCGTGGCGCTGGCCAAAAGATTTTTATTTATTTGAGAGGCAGAGTTACAAACAGAGGGAGAGACAGAGAGACATCTTCCATCCACTGACTCACTCCCCAAATGGCTTTGCCATCTTCCACTGCTTTCCCAGGCTACAAGCAGGGAGCTGGATTGTAGGAGGAGCAGCTGGGACATGAACCAGTGCCCATATGGGATGCCAGTGCTGTAGGTGGAGGCTTAGCCTACTTACTACGCTACAGTACCAGCCACTGAAATAGTTTTTTGAAAACATCAAATGTATGATAATTTATGTGCATGTCAATGTATTAAAAAACAAGATGTCAAAGAAGGTCTAATAACTATTGTAATTCTGAAGAAGCACAAACAGTGTGTTTCGCTATCTGAAGGAACTACAATGTGAAATGAAAATATCTGATTCTCCTTGCTGACAAAGTCAGTGCTAACTGCTAACGCTGCTGTGGCTTGGCACTTACATTCAGATATGATTTCAGTTAGAATCTGGTGAAAATAAAGATACACTTTCCTTCCCATCCAAGGTCATAGATGCCTTGAGTTCTCCCCATGACCTCAGGTTAATAACTCCTACATTAGCAATTATCTACGTAATCATTTCATTTAGGGTTTTGCAAGGCAGGCTGTGCAGTGGCCAAGCTGGCGTATCCTATGTGGTAGCTGCAGAAATCAAAGCTGTCTGGGTCACAGAGATGGTGAAGCGGGTGAGCTGGGAGGGCGGACAGGGGCAGACCCAGGGCTCTGGTTCAGACTCTGAGGTTCATTTGCAGTGAGCGTTCACTGAACACCTACCATGTCAGTCATTGTGCTGGTCTCTGGTGGGGGTTAAAGAGAAGGATGACTTGTGTTCCTAAGGAGCTAGTTATCTAGTTGGGAGCTAACAGTCTAGAAGTCTCCCAACCTGGGAATCTCTGCTCTTCAGCCTGCTGTTTATGTATGTTTAGAATCCTGGATTTTGCAAACTCCTATAAATTCACTTGTATGAATGTTTCTCTGCAGTGACATCACCATAACTTTCCTGTTCCATCTGCCCACTACTGTGCACAGCCTTCTGGTCCAGGCTTTTGGACATACCTGGAAGGATCTACCCCTTCCTCCCAGCTCATTTCCCACTAATTAGCTCCAATTTATCAATCAGATTGTACTTGAAAACTTAACTCCTCCAGTCTTACACTGTTGTAGTTCTTTGCCACAATCACTTTTACCACCATCTCTATCACCACCAACATCTTTATCATCACCATGGTCAACCACCTTCATCATCACAACCTTCATCAGCATCACCACCATCTTCATTGTACCACCACCACCACCACCACCACCACCACCACCACCACCATTCACAAACTGCCAAGCCATCCAGGGTATTGAAAGGTTATTTTGGGGCTGGCTCTGTGGCACAGTAGGTTAATCCCCCGCCTGCAGCACCGACATCCCATATGGGTGCCAGGTGTAGTCCCAGCTGCTCCTCTTCCAATCCAGCTCTCTGCTATGGCCTGGGAAAGCAGTAGAAGATGGCCCAAGTGCCTGGGCTCCTGCACCTGCATGGGAGACTGGGAAGAAGCTCCTGGCTCCTGGCTTCGATCGGCACAGCTCTAGCTGTTGTGACCATTTAGGGAGTGAACCAACAGAAGGAAGACCTCTCTCTCTGTCTCTCCATCTGTCTGTAACTTTACCTCTCAAATAAATAAATAAAATCTTTTTTTTTTTTAAAAGAAAGGTTACCTCAGAACTTCTATAGTCTCCTGGCTCTGGTGTCACCCAGCCCTGGCTGTTGCAGTCATTTGGGGAGTGAAACAGCAGACAGATCACCCTCTGTCTCTGGACATTGGTTACTCATTGAAGAGAATGATGTAATACATGATGGAGGTGGTGGTGACAACATCCCATTATGAAAAATGGTGAAAGCATTACCATTCCAAGGGACTTGTGCAAATTACCTATTGTAACTCTCATGAAGAACCCAGAGACAGTACTTTTATTAATCCAGTTTTACACACGTGTGGACTCAGTTTGCTATCATACATTTGTGTGCTTCTCTGACTGCCATCTTCTCCAGCAGACTATAAGATTCGTGGGAGCTGGGATTCTTATTTTTGCCCATCACTATGTGTTTGGAACAAAGTAAGTATCCACTGAGTGAATGAATGATTGGGTAAACTCAACTCTTAAACAAGCCAATGCACACCCAACCCTATTGCACTCCCAGCCTTGTACAGTGGAGGACAGCAAACAATACAGACTCCAGACCCTCTTCCCCAAGAACTCAGTCCAACAGAGGAAATGAAATATAGGCACACAGAACCATAGCTTGAAGCAGTTTCAGGGAACATCTAGAAGAATGAGGAACAGAGCAAGGATGTTGTGGGCTTGGTCAGGGATGGCTTCCTGTAGGAGGTGGTGCCAGGGTAGTTGTGAATTTGCATGGAGAAGAGGAAACTGACATTCTTGATACACAGCACAGTCTACCCAAATGCACAGCCTGGAGAGCAGCTCGTGTGGCTTGAGCAGGTGAGTTCTCTGGGCTGGTGACACGGTTTGTGGTGGTCGTATTTTTTAAATGGGGGTGAAAGTCATGCTGATACCCACCAAGCAGTCACTCCCCATCCTCCCTTCCCTCCAGACCATGGGGACTATCCGTCTTCTATCTCTAGGGATTTCCTATTCTGGACATTTCCTATACATGGAACCATACAAGACATGGCCTTTGGCATTTAGCTTTTTATTTATTTTTTATTTTTTATTTTTTATTTTTGACAGGCAGAGTGGACAGTGAGAGAGAGACAGAGAGAAAGGTCTTCTGTTTTGCCGTTGGTTCACCCTCTAATGGCCACCGCGCTGATCCGATGGCAGGAGCCAGGTGCTTATCCTGGTCTCCCATGGGGTGCAGGGCCCAAGTACTTGGGCCATCCTCCACTGCACTCCCTGGCCACAGCAGAGAGCTGGCCTGGAAGAGGGGCAACCAGGACAGAATCCGGCGCCCCAACCGGGACTAGAACCCGGTGTGCCGGCGCCGCAAGGCGGAGGATTAGCCTAGTGAGCCACGGAGCTGGCCTGTAAGGTTTTTTTAAAAGATAACTTTTATAAAAAAAGATTTATTTTACTTATTTGAAAGAGTTATTTATTTGAAAGAAAGAGGGAGAGACAGAGACAGAGATAGAGAGAGAGAGATGTATCTTTCATCCATTGGTTCACTCCCTCAGATGGTCACAATGGCTGGAACTGAGCTGATCTGAAGCCAAGAGCTTTTTCTGGGTCTCCCATGTGAGTGCAGGGGCCCAAGGACTTGGGCCATCTTCTGCTGCTTTCCCAGGCCATAGCAGAGAGCTGGATTAGAAGTGGAGCAGCTGGGACTCAAACTGGTGCCCATATAGGATGCTGGCGCTGCAGGCTGGTGCTTTAACCTACTGCACCACAGCGCCAGCCCCTCTATAAGATTTTTGACGGGGTCACTATAAGCCTAGAGATGCTGGTGGCCTCTTAGAGCAACACTAGCAAAAGCCAGCGTGACAGTGAGAATTAAGGGTACTGATGCTGGACATGGTCTTGCCCTGCTGGTCACACCGAATCCCTCCCACTGGGCCTCTCACAAATCCAGTGGCATCTGCTCAGGGGAATTGTCTGCCACCTCATTAGTACACCCACATCTCTAGCACTTTCCCCTGCATGAGCAGTGGACCTGCTCCTGGAAGTTGGTTACACACTGGAGATAATGATGTAATACATTTAAGTCTTAGCAAAATTGATGATGGTGTAACAAGATAGTGATGGCGGGATGATGCTGGAGAACCGACTTCATTAGGCTGAAATTGGCTTTTTGTCTCAGAGCAGGGCTGCTTTACCTGCAACAATATGGGAGAGTTTGAATGGCAGGGAAGGGTCCTCTCTGACTCTTAGTTTCCCCCTTAGTAAAATGACAAAGTCGGGCCAGGCCTGGGTTATAAGGTCAGGGGTCAGCGGGATAGCGGAAGTGTATGAAGGCAGCTGAATACAACATTCTATACGTCACTCTGTT